TAGATAGATTGAAGATATATAGATAGATTGAAGATATAGATAATTGAGTCAAGCGAACAGTAGGCACCGTAAGTAAAGTGTGTGAATCACTGTGATTTATAGCGTGTGTTATAAAAGTTGTTAAGTGTATTACAAAGTTTGTATCGAGAAATAATAAACTAGTTTTAATCAAGAAAGGACTTGTATCGCTGAAGTTTCTCGGAAAGAATTTCTACGGGAAATTAACAAACGATCAGATACGCAACAATACATTCTTAGTACACATGGCCACTACAAGAGGTGGTAGATGGTAAGTTGCCCTTATCTCTGCCAATGTGAGGACTCTAAAGGGGCCCCTCTCTATTATGGCTGCCTCTAACATGAGCAAATCAGAACATGTCAGAAGTCCTATCTATTACATAAGAAAATAACTTGGAAATCGTCCCGTTAACAGAGGCGAAAATATACAAACTCTATTAGGAGAATCCATCCTCCCAATAAATAAGAAAAAGTATTGTTACGACATCGGGGTCACGTGACGCTAGTAACACGTCATTGACTTCTAGAAATATCCTGTTCCTTCATGAATGCTCTAGCGTTTACTAGATACGTGTTAATCTTGTATATATAAGACGGTCACAAAGTGACGGAACAATGTGTGTAATTGAACTGAGTATTGTTGAGTCGAGCACGTGAGACGTTTGTTGAGAATTATAGCGTTTGTTATAGCGCGACTGTTGAAATTAAGTGTATCGCAAAGTTATATTCAGAAAGAATAAACCAGTTTTGTTTAAGAAAGGACTTCTATCGGTAAAATTTCTTCGGAAAGAATTTTTACGGAAAATTAACGAACGAACGGAAACGTAACAGTATAGAATCACCAAATGAGGGCTGGAAACGGACGCAAACAGGTTGTACACTTTTGGCTGATTCCCATATAATGGAAAACGGGGTATCATGAATTTGCTTTAGGACCCAGAAAACGTTGTGGCGGCCCTGTAAATGCAAAGGATAATAGTCACTCATCTTTTAACACATCTGGTGCTAGAGATTATCAATTTGAAAACACAACACACAACATAATAACTTACTTATCTTATTCATACCGCGTAGCTCACCAACTGACGCTTCCTTTTTTTTTCTTGCTACAATGTATGTAAATTGCAATTAAATTTAACTCGCTGTTGTTAGTTTTACTTTTCTTTGCTTGTCTTACTGATTATGAAATTTGAGAAGAATTTCACATTATGTGTCCTTGATTTTTTAGCAAACTTCTTCGTCTAAAAAATACATGGTTTCGTTGTATAATAACTAAATCTTACATGCGCATGGGCGTTCGCAGGATGTGGGGTAGGGAACATTTGCCCTCCTGGAATTTCAGAAGAAAATTTATTTGAATATTTTATTTTTAAAATGTATAAGAAAATAATACAATTTAAATATAAATCACGAAATTAGGTGCACATAAATAAGTTATAATCAGCCGGAAACTAGCATTCAAACTGCTAGGCTTCCCTCTACCTGGAAAAAATTTTGCGGACGCCAATGTACTTATATATATATATATATATACAGAAGTAAACATTCATAAAACCCGAAAATGAAGTATAGATGATTATATTATTTTATTCATTTAATGTGCTATTTCATAAAATACTGGAAGCTAAATATATCCAATAACTCAAAATAGCAACCGTAATAATTAACGCAAGCCAATTCAGAGAACGAAGTTACGATGCCATTGTTACTAATTCTTTGTTTCCTGCTCACCACTCTTAACAACGTGGTTTAAGTTCACTGTGACTGTAACTTATTACGGTTTTCCACAGGTTTTATCACGTAGTGCAGTAACGTGTGTTTTATTCAAAAGTTTACAACAGGCTACTTGGATCAACAACCAAATATGTGAGTGGAACCGGATATAACCCGTACACAACTGTTTGGAAGGTGTGTCGCTGCAGCTAAGACCTTCGTATTTACCTAAAATAATTCGTGATGTCACTATCACTTACGTCATCAAGATGGCAGATCGATGCTGTACGCCCACAAGTGTCTGTGTATTGCGTTGACGTTATGGCTTCCCTTTTGTCACAACGAATATATTTAAAAGTGTTGCAAGACGAGAAAACTCTTATAAATGCTATTTTCACTGAAATGCAATCTTCGTAAGTCATCAAAATACTAAAAAATGAAATTGTTTCAACCTTACACCATAATTTGTCTTAATTGTTTGTTTTTTATTAAGCGCAAAGCTACACACAATAAGCCATTTGTGCTATACCTACCACGACTATCAAAACTCGGATTTTTAGAGTTACAAGCCTTTAGACTTACCGCTGAACCACTGGGGACATAAACTGTCAGATTATAAAAATGATACTCTAGTCCGCATAAAAAAAATAAACAAAAATATATTTAATGACAAAGTCATGTATTCATTCCATCCATTTGTATTTAGTATGTTGATTTAAAAAAAGTAAAGAAAAAGAGATTAACGCTTGTTTCTGTTGAATATTATAAACTAACAATCCCAAAACCAATAAGCTAAGTTTATGTATTTGCTGCGTAAAAGCAGAATTTTTTACCAGTATTCTAAAATCCGTGTTTATTAATGACATGTTGGAAAACCTTCCTATTCTTTTTCATTATTTAATTGACACTAGGTTTCTTTCAGTAAATTCCATTAATTCAGATATAAATATATACATATTATAATCTGACAGTTTATGTCTCCAAAAGAAAATCACTTACTTGTCCAATTCCATAAATCATGGCTCATTGCAGCTTAATTTGTTGATGGTACCTAGGGAGTAAAGTGATACCATATTAGGCACATTATTGTCTATAAATTCTATCTGCCATTTTACACAAAAATGCTGTATATTATATCACCCACACAATTTTTTAGCATTTCATTGAGCTCAGTAACATTTTGCAAATCCGTATATATATTTTTTTAATTTACCAAAGAAAACGTTAGCGTCGTAATATCTAGTAAAACGAATTAACGGAATATTCTATAAAACAATTATCAAGTAAACATAAAACACTCTCAGAAAATAAGACAGGTAAACGCAATGAATTAAAAAGGTATTTTTTCAGTAACACAATGGAAACTACTTACTTGCTGCTATTGTATGATACCTTAGGTAGTGTTTTTACTTTTACTCTTACAACACTAATCAATGGTATATTTATAATCCCAATTTAAGAATGTTTGTTTGTTTGAAGTTAAGCACAAAGCTACACAATGGGCTATCTGTGCTCTGGCCACACGGGTATTGAAACCCGGTTTCTAGCGATGTAAGTCCGCAGACATACCATTATGCCACTGTGGGGCATTTAAGAATGTAATTCTTTATTTTGCCCATTTCTTATGCACAGATGCTGCACGCATGATACGAGTAGTTGGTAGATTTTAGAGAACACCTTAATAACTTCTTACAAATAAATAAAATTTTTATAAGAATTGTCATGCGCTGACGTTTTTCGTTTAAAACAACAAAACAAACAAAAGTGGACGGACAATATTTCAATATTCAAAACCTTGGACGTGCACACCCTAACTTGGCTTAATAAAATGATCATAGGTAAGATATATCAAAATTGCTTTTTAGTGAGAAGGCCAAAAATATTACAGTGAGCTAAGCCTTACACGTCGGTGCTTTAGAAAAATAATCTACAGCTTCACAATACGTAGGGGGAACGAAGTTGTTTATCTGATAACTATTTTCAACCGACAACCTACACTAAACGTTATGTTGCGACAATCACTTTCCTAACGCTGTGGCATGTTTTAAGTTGAAGCTGGTTTAAGAAGCCGAAAAGTGGATTATTTAGCTTAGTATTAATTCAAAACACCACATAAGCATTTTCATGTGCTAAACTCTGACAATAGCCGTTCTAATATCTTATGAATTATTCTTTTTTAATATCATATCTCACGACTTAATCGCTACCATATTTCTGTGGTAACAAATAAACAAACTATTCGCTGCTTAAAATCATAACAAGTGTTTTCAATGTGAATTGTTCTGTAAAATTTCAGAACAGTATCCGGCAAGCATTTACTTCTCCATAAACAAACATAAACACTACGTGTATAACTCATAGTGAAACGGAGTCGCATGGTTACTCATGCACTTGTCATAGACGAAGCACGTGCTCAGCAGACTTAGTTTCACGCACCGATCACATGAACACTTAACGTTGATTGGCTCCGTTGATTGTCCCTCGAATCTTATTTGATACGTGATGGGCAATACAATTCTGGCACACAGTAATTTGTTTGAAGGTATGGGCACGCCTTTACACTCCTCAATAAAACCCCATTTCGAGGCGTGTAGAAACTTTTATGTTAAATAGAATTCAGACGTGAATGTTGCAGCTTTAAAGATGACTAGCCTTTCAATTTCTCCATCATGTACTCCTCCACATTCGTTCTCTGTAAGTATCGGGAACGAAGTAGCTTATTAACATGTATATTAATTATTATATCCATTTTAACGTGAACTACAACTTACTGATAAGAAGCATGTGACCATTCTATCTTGATTTGAAATTATATCATTAAAAAATGATAATGGAAAATAAAATAATTTTGGCTTTTCACGGTTTATGTGATTTTCTTAAATTTGTTATCCGAGAATTTAATTTTTACTAAGTTATAATTTTAACCATGCTTATCATTACAAATAAATGTGCCAGTACTTTCTTGTTCAAAACCTAGCCTTAAGGAGGGAACCATACATTGAGCATGCGTTTTAGAAATTGTGGTGTACATGTGATGTGCACGTGAACTGTCGCTTGTAAGTTGAACACGTCAGTTAACTTTTATTATTTTTGTGTACGATTACTGCTGTAAGAAATGAATTATTTCATTCATTTTTTTATTTCTAACTATTATTTTACAAGTAAAGAAATGTATTTTGAATAAAGCTATTAAATATTCATAATCTCAAGTTTAAATTTTAACAGATGTATCTCCTGTAACTTACAAACTGTACGTCGGAAATTGCTCTACAACAGTACAAATTTATCACACTCACAGTAGTTCGTGTAAAATATTTTAAATGACAACTTTTATTATGACCTCATTGACACGTATAGATTATTACGTATATAAACCTAACCCTGCTGGTGTGTTCTTTGTTTAAAAATTAAATTTAATGTGTGTTTTAAATGGATCAGGAATATAAAAAATTCTGATAGTAGAAGACTTAATTCGTTGTTTAAAAATAATAGTGAGCTCTTAGTCTTAACTTGTTCTAGGAATAGGTATGTAAATAGTATTAATTAAAATAGGCTTAACGTTAAATGTTTGTTTCAAATTAATTTTATATTTGACATAATTTTAATAAAATAAAAAAATTGGAAATAATTATTTTAATGTGTGCGAGATATGACTATTTCACAGTATCCTATAAGTATAATTCACTTCTACTTCTAAGCAGAAATCTTCAAATTGGTTCATTATGTTGAATTTAATGAAAAATTTGCAATTGAATATTGATTTATCTTCACAAACTGAAGATCCAAGATATACAATTACAGAATACGAAAATCCAAGATATTGTATCGAGAATTAGTACAAGTAATTGTGTAAGTGAAGTAGAGGCTAGCACTTTAAAAATATTTTAAAAGGGGAATGGGTGGTTTCCTTAAAAATTTGGGTAGGTTTAAAAGCAATGCCCAATGTGACACTTAAGTTGTACATCTTCAATGTAAATTTGAAAAATATTGTTTGTGATTTTCTACCCTGTTGCCAATGTTATATTACAATTATTAGTGCATTGTTTGTAATGAACATGTATTTGAAGATTCCAATGATGATGCTCAGTATCAGTTATAACAAACATTTTATGTGACTTTTGCACTAAATGAAGAATAATAAGTAACTTTTCATAAATGTAATTATGTCTTATTAGTTAATAAGGCTTTTAATAAAGTTCTAAATTTGTTTATACGCTCAAAGATATTTAATAGTGCCAAATGATTTACAAGTTAGTTCAAAACTAAAGGTTACCAATACTTACAATGTAAGTTGGACCTCATAGGATTCTGCTGTGTTTTGCCATTTGCTTTGAAAATTCTCTAGATGAAGTTGACATAGCTTGTTCCTTCACTGAAGACTTGAAATTAAGTTTACTTGTTAGTTGGTCACATGTTCAGACCCTAATTCAGGAGTACAGTCAGGTTAGAATCTTAAGTTTACTATGATATTCAGGATATGAACTTTGACTAACTACCCATGACTTGTTTGTTTGGAGAAGCAGATAGTTCTTCTTAACCAATTAACGAGAGAATTGAAGATATAGTAACAGTAGGATAATGACTGAACTTTGCTTTTGTATGCATGTTTAGTATTAACTAGTGATTCTTGAGAAAGTAAACAGTTTTTGAAGTGTTTGTAGAATGACCTTTGTTTTGGTAATAGCAGTTTATCATCTCAAATGTCTTTCAAAATACAATATGGTATGTAAATGTTTGTTTATGTAAAACTTTTAAACAGATTGATTTTGAAGTGAGACATTATTAGGACAAAATTTATTGAGAATAAAAATGGACTTTTTAAGATAACTTTCAGACATGCTTTTGTAATTTTTAACTTTTTAATATTTACAGTATTTTTCTAGAAAGTAACATTTGTCCATTAGACTAGCAACAAAGATGCTAGCATTACTTGTATTTTTTTTAATGATTGTTAAAAAATGTTGAAAATTTAAAAATTTGACTAGAGAATATAAAACAATAAAATTTATTTTCCTTTTATAACTATGATAATAAATGTCAATTGGATAAACAAATGAAGTAAATTTATTAAAATTTAAAAGACTTTTTGAACTTATCTTCTCTTAACATTACAGGAGAATTTTCATCATGGAGTGGTACAAGAGAGATGTGATTTTGATGCAGTACAAACATTATTGTCCATAAGCCAACAGACTTCTCTTCCACAGCATGGCAGCAGTATCCAAGATAGCATGGACTTTTTCTGTCACAGGCATATGGAGATGACACCCCCAAACTCCGAGGATGAATTGGAAGAAATTGCTCAGGAAAACAAAAATAGCTCTGAACATGATAAGGTATGTTGTCCATTTGTTAAAAGTTTTTAGCTTAGTAACCTTCTCATCTCTTCACTTTTTCTAAGTCATTACTCTGTAAGGTAATTTATTTTTGATTTTAAGAGAGGTTCATTATGAGTTTGTATCCAGTCAAAACATACTCGTGCATGCGTACAAACCTAAGTATCTTATTTTTTGTGGCTTATCATTAAAAATATACATTCAAAAGAAAGTTGTTATGGCTCAACATTGAGTCTGTGAATCAATGAGACCAAATTCAAGGGATTGAGTGGGCTACAGAGGTTTTTCGCAGTTTGTGGTATTCAAGTTAAAACCAAAAAAAATGTACCTTGATAAAGGGCTTGATCTGTTAACCTAAAAAAAACCACACTTTATTGCCAAAAGCATTTCTCTCAATTGTGTTTCGTCACAAAGAAGTGGATTTTATGGGGTTGGGCAGACTGTTTTTTTTTTCTTGGACATAATAGTAGAAGTATTCATGTTCAAACAGGTACTGCACTTAGCCACTTTACAGTTGCTTTCGTTGGTCATCTTGTAAAACTGCAGAGAAAATAGATCTTGTATTGCACAACATGTGCTGTTATTACCACGTTTTGTGTGTGAGTTTGGATTGTGGTATGGTCTTATTTCCTGAGAACCTAAAAATTAGTGTGAATCTGGTCACGCTGGTGAGAATTTCAGGTTCCGGATATTGCAAGGAGTTAAAGTCTCTATTCAGAATTTAAAAAGAAAGAGTACTGGAAATCTATTTGGGAATCAAGCCAACAAACAGCCTCTGACTTGCAAACTAGGTGTTAAAAAACACAGTTACTTCCTTCTAGTCCTTAAAGAATATTAATATTCTTGTTGCACAACAAATAAGCTTCACTCAAAATTCGTGTAATTCATGTTTACATATTTGGATATAAAAATGTCTTTGTATTGTGATATAATCATTTTGAGCAATCCAATTTTATCATATTATTCTCCTATAAACTAAATTGATATAGCTTGAAGTTACTTTGAGTTTACACCATACAAATTTGGCACATGCATTAGTGCAGGATTGATGTTTATAATTTCATTTGTTTTCAGTGTGAAAATTATAGTTAGATCCACAGTTTTCCTGAACATTTGTAAATTATCAGCATATAAATTACACATATAATATTAGCGGGAATCGTTTTTGTTATAAGGATGAGGTAAAAGTTCTTGGGGTATAGGTTGGTATGTCTTTTAAAACCCTTGAGTCAGTTGTATGTTGGAAATGATAAAGCCAACAGAGTTTTTGGATTGTCTACAAAATTAAATCTAATTGTATAAAAGAATATTGACTACATGTTTTAAGAGGTTTTGTTATACCATTCACTAGTTTGGCCTCATTTGATAGAATGTGTAGTTATTTTAGGAAGACTGCCGAGTTGTTGGAGAAATTTCAGAGGAGAGCTACTAGGATTATTCTGGGGATGGATATTTTTTTCATATGAGATTTCTTAACTTGTTTTCTCTTTAAGAGAGGATGGTCAGGAGTAATATAATTGACGTATTGAAAATTTTCAAGGGTACTGATAAAACTGAGCTATCAATTTTTTTTCAAGTTAAATTCTGAGGGTCAGTAGGGCAAGAAGTTATAGGTTTGAAATTTGAAAAGGTCAGACACATCTCTAGTTGAAACAGTTCTCCTCCAATATGTTAAATCTGGATTAATTGGTCATCTAGAGTAGAAGAGGTCACAACTTTATAGGAGTTTTAAGCTTGGGAGATAAAGGCTGTATTTAGTGATTAGTTTTTTGCTTATTGAAGGAGGTTGTGAATCAGGACATTCATGATTAGCCCAAGGTCCATTTGATGCCCCACAATTTATATATCACTGGCATTTAACATTTCTCAGTACTATCCTAAAGATGAGACATTTTATAAGAAATTATTTTTGTCAACTATTGAAAACGAATAAATACTCCTTTTTATAAAACATCAAGATCTCTTATGTAAAGTAATGAAGTATGGTAACAATAATTCTTTTGATGCAATCTTTAAGATATGGAGTGAGTGGGTCTTATTTATATACACTGTCACACAACACTATTTTTGTTGCAGAAGAGTTTGAAGCTGTTGAATTTCTCAGAGTTAGTGCTCTGTTTACATGGTATTGTTTGTTCTAATATTAAAACCTAGTAATTATAATTAGGTTGATAACTTAATGCCATTATTAGCAGAGAATCTTAAAGTTTACAAGTAAATACAGCTGGATTAGTAGATAAGAATATCAGTAAATATTGTTTTAGCTAAGTATACTTTTTAATTAATATACTTTCCCCTTTCTAGCTGAATTTAGCAATGATTTTCCTCACTTTGTGGGTAGTGTAAAAATATTTTACCACTGTTCAAAACTAGTTCTTAGCTGATCATCATCATATAATAATTAGTACATAATGTGAGCAAGTTTTTGATAATATTATAATTTTTAAGATTAAAAGCTTGTATGATTAGATAAAATAATTTTATATATATGGTAAGTTTATGTTTATTTCTTATTCTCATTGATTGAAATTTTTTACAGGTGCTCCTGGCTCCAACTCCTCCACAAACTCCAAGTTCCCACATAACAGGCATGCCAGTTTCGGTCATTAGGAGAGCTCCACGGACACAACATTTCTCCGAACAGAGTGGTTGTGGAAATATTAGAATGCTTAATGCTGATAAATTAATGGAACTCCCTCCCTGTAATGAAAGTAATATGTTTCCTAGTAAAAAATCAGTTGTTTGTCCTTCTGTTAACCTACCTTTCACAACTTCTGCCCAGAATATTGTAATTTCTAGTTCTGTAACGTTTCAAAATACTCCAGTTACAACAGTTCTTCCACTCTGTTCTAACAGCTCATCACAGCAGTCTGCCTTTGGCACAACTATTGTACAGTCTACTGCTAAGCCCATTGCTATTGCTCCAAAGATTATTCCCAGTACAGTTATTCCATTATTTTCCACTGTCACTCCATTAGTTACTAGTAGCAGTAAACAGCAAGATATTTCTGCTAACTCTTATGTTGTTTCTCAGTGTCCAGCATCTACTAACATGCCTGGTAACCCTACAACCTTGATACCCATAACAGGGACAAATGGACCACTGCTTCAGCTTATGGTCACAGGGACTTCATTTGGATTAACTGGAACAGCAATGACCTGTGGTACTACTAATGGACTTGTTACAAAACCAAGGATTCTCTCACCTGCATCTGTAGTTTTCTCATCATGTGATAAGTCAGATTTCTTAGCAGATACAAGACGAAGAGCTTATCATTGTTCCTTTCCAAATTGTTCGAAAACTTATTTCAAGAGTTCCCATTTGAAGGCTCATATCAGAACTCATACAGGTAACAACACATCTGTATAACTCTATAGACTTATTGTTGTAATTAATTTTCAGTAGGAACAAAGAAGCTGAATAAATACTTGGTTGAAGTTTGTATCTGTCATCATGTATCAAAACTTGTAAAGATTTAGGTTCTGTTCAGAAAAACATTAATTTATACAATTAATATAGAGATTTTTAAAGTTATTTAATCTTTTGAATTCTTCAATAGAGATAAAGTTTTTTGTTGCTTGAGATTAGAAAATAAAATCTTGAGTGAGGCTTCATTTATCTTATTTGTATTCCATATACTCTGAAGAAATGATTCAGTATCATTGCTTAATTACTATTGCTTTTTGATAGTTTAGCTGAACTCGTTTCTAGAATAACATCTTGGTTTGTTTCACAGGAGAGAAACCATTTGCTTGTACATGGGAAGGGTGTAATCGAAAATTTTCAAGATCAGATGAACTTTCACGTCACAAGCGCACACATACTGGTGAGAAGAAATTTGCATGTCCTGTTTGTGATCGAAGATTCATGAGGAGTGATCACCTTGCTAAGCATATAAAACGACATTCCAGTGGTAAGCGAGTTGGACTTTGGGTTGGTCAGCATTCTGCCAATAGTAGATCAAGTGTAGATGGATCAAAATGTGGTGTTTTAGGAGTCGGTCATGGAATGGGAGCCACTACACTCCAAGTCCTTTTTCCAACAGCTACATAGATTTTACTGAATGATTTCTGAAATTTTGGCTGTGATTCAATGTATTAATAATGTTATAGAAATAAATATAACACTATAATTTTATTATATAGTTTAATCGATACAAGGTATTTGAAAAGACCCAGTTAAGTGTAATGTAGTTAATATTATTATAGAAAGAACAAGTTTAAATCATTTTTTGTAGGTGTTAATATGAAACAAATGGTGAAATGGGTAAAAAAGCATTATTTCAATAACCTGTGTAACTTTTTACCTCTTTTTGAAACTTGTGTGAAAATAATTGTTTTTCTTCATTTATTTAATTTATTGCTATTTGTTCATTAAATATACAAGGTAAATTCTGAAAACGTTTTTTAAAAACGTTGTTTTACTGCTTGAGTTTGTGGGTCAATGTTGCCATGTCAAAACTATGGGAGGTATAATTCATATATTTGTTTCTAAACATTTTAGAGGTTTTGCTCAGTAAGTATAAATTAAAGAAAATAAGTAAGGGTTCATATGTAAGAAATAATATGTTTCTTTATTGGAAATAACGTTTTTTTTGGCCAGTTCATGTTGTAGAGGCAAAATATTTTTCTTACAGATCTCAAAAGTATGCATTTCATCTCTCTACCTGTTAAATAGAGATGAGATATTTTTTCAAAATACTTTTTTACCTTAATGTGCTAGTTTTGTATATTACTGTGGATCTCTAACATTATTTAATATTAGACTTCTTGTATTACATGATTGGATGATTTCTTAGGTGTTAGTTATGAACGTTACTAATTTTAAAATAATGTGAATGTAGTATTTCTACCGATTTTGTTAAACACTTGATTTACGAGTATTTATTTATAGGATATTATTATAACTTAAGTAAGTTGAATTGTGTAAATACGCGATTTGTTTCTTACAGATGGAATAAATGAAAATAGAAAAAAATTCAAATTTTTTAGTTTTTATTGTGTTTCGTATTTATACATGAAGAAACCATAAGATAAAAACAAAAGTGAGGCCAATTATACTATCAGATGCTTTATAATAAATGGGATACATAACGGATATAATTAACAGGTTTAAGTACGTTTTCCTGACACACAAACATTAGACTAACATGGTGTATACATCGAAATTTTTTCACAGTTTTTCATTATTAATCCTATTACGTATGACCAATTGTACTTTAAACATTTTTATTATGCCCTCTAAATGATGGTATTCTTTTATGTGATGGATTCTGGAAATGTTTTAAGTGTTCTTTCCATAGCAAACGTAGTAAGATAAGAATTCGCCTTTTGAATAATCGTGGGACGCTTGGTGAATACAGTCGACTTTCCCATTAATTTGTTCGACTTGAGTTTCTCAGTTTAAAAAATGCGAAAAAGATACCATCGGTTTTAGTCACATGAATAATGTTAAGAGAGCATTTTGGTCACGAAAAAAGAAACATTTGATATCCCCTCCCCCTAACCTATATGAAGATTTTGAATTTTAGAAATGCATTACTATTGTAACACAACGAATAGGAAATTACTGATTTATAAATTATTCATTACAGTAGAAAAATTGGAAATATATTAAAAATACACAAACATTTGTACGGCATATCGTACCATAATTAGTAACATCAAAACAATCTAGGAGGGCATACGATGTATCTGTTTAGATCAAAATTGTTGGAGTTTGTATGTCAATATTAATTTCATTATATTGACAATGTTCAAATACACGTATGTACAGCGTAATGCGATCTCTGTTTCAACGTTTTGTTAGAGATATTCGCGTAAAACTATACAAGGACTGTTTCCGCTAGCCGTTCTTAATGTTGAACCGATAGACTAAAGGGAAGAAAGGTGTTATTCATAATATTTATGAATTGTAATATAAAGAAAACCATGCTAAATGAACAAATAACAGCTGTTTATTAATTGGGAATATAAGACAATTCTTTATAATATACTTACCTCGTTATAGTGAGATAATGTATAATAACTTACAATTTTGTTTTCTTTCGTTATTGTAATGTACCTAATGAATTTGACGATACACTGCTTTTGTTTTTAGTCATTTATCTTATTTTAGCCATTTCCATAAATTAACTTTAAGCTTCTCTTGGGATCTCTTTAAAATTGGACTGGATGTGGCCAAAAAGTTAGCGTGCCCAGACTGTGAATCTGAAGTTTCGTGGTTCAACTTCGCGACACACTGCCACAAAAACCCGCGTTCAACGTTCAGAGGTCGTGGGTGCGGTTAAGAAGGACGACCAAAGCATACCTTTCGATAACATATGAGTAACCAAATAGTTCACAGTGGATGTTGTTGACTAACTGCCTTCCCTTTAGTGTATTAATTCAAAATCATGGGACGACTATAAATAGATCTTCATAGTGTGCTTTGCCACGAAATTCTACAACAAAAACTCTTTGAAAATTACATAATAAAAGCTATTTAGTCGTTTTATTTATCATTAACTTTGTTAAAAACGTAATGCACAGATTGATGTACTTCGGCTTTACAAATGAATAACGAAACACGCAAAATTTTGAAGATTAGCAGATAAAACTTAAAATCAAATAAAATCTAATGAACATAATACTGTGGCTATAATAGTTAATATTCTGTTTATTCACTTCTTAGCTTATACTTTTCCAAAAGCACTTTTTGTCCTCGAGTTTTGAGAACAGACTAAGTCAAAAACAATAATTCGAGAGGGCTGATATAATGAAAGAAGAATTAACCAACAGAATTATTGATATTTTGTAATTTGTTGTCTATTTGCTATTATATTACTTGTATAATTTATAAGATATGATATAACGTTACACCTATTGATTATTTAATATCGCATTAGAAATTTGAAAACAAAAGTGAATAAATATGGTAATGCTAAAGCAAAACTTCTGTATTTCTCCCCATTCGTTATACACTAATATTCATGAAATATGTTTTTATTCATTTATCAAAAACTGTGACTTGGGTAATAAGACTATAGCAGTAGATCATTGAAAATTGAGTGGTGGCATCATGCAACAACAGGTACTAATTGTTCTTAATTATGCTATTGTCACCGTTAATCAAAACCGAAACCAAATTTGTGCGATTCAAGCCCATCAAATTTAGTGAATTTATTGATTTTTATTGTAATGTTTAATAAACCATGTACCTGTACATCTAAATAAACTATTTCAAATTTATCAATGTGCATTGATGCAATTAAAGAAAACAACGAAATTACTGATGAAGTACTGCTATTGAATAGCCGGCTTTTTGAAGAAAAGCAATCATTGTAATTTACTTTAAATTTAAGTATCGACAATATCTTTCATAAAATCACTAGTTCTAATGCATTTGAAATAATTAAGAAAATCATGAAATTGAGAATATTAATCAGATAATGAATCATAAAGTAATATATTTTAATTAATTCGTTAGCTTATATTAAAACTTATCAACATCTCCAAAAACGTCTTTTTCATAACAGAGGAGGTTTTGCTTTGAACATATGGCAAAGTTATTTAAGGGGGTTAGCTGCGCTAATTTAGCAGTGATAGACTAGAAAGAAAGCATCACCCACAGCCAACTCTTGGGTTACTTTTTTGCCAACAAATAGTAGGATTGATAGCAGCATTATAACAACTCCACGGCTGTAAAGGTGAGCATTTTCGGTTACGGGGATTCAAACCCGCGACCGGCCAATTACGAGTCGAATGGCCTAACCACCAGGCCATGGGAGGTTGTTTTTTAATCAATCATTTCATGATAAACAATTACACACCTATTAAGAACCAGCCGTCTATCAAAAAACATTAATATTTATATTTGATGAATCAAAATCTGTCAAACTTAAGCTATTTTTCATTTATATTATTTTTTTATCATATAAACGACCAATATACCTACCATAATTAATTTACATTGTGATTTGTCTCAAGCAAACGTATTCATTATTTTCTAATTTTTTACTAATATATTCCTAAATAAATTATAATAAGAGATTATTACATAGATATACATATATAAATTTATTAATATATACATATATATCCATGGATTACCTTTTAGTAGATTAAATATCCTACCACCAGGTTTAGTTGTTAATATATACATGTGAAAGCGCGTGACGAGAGTGGATTAAGGTGGTATTTACTAATTTAGTGGGTCTGTAAGAGGTATTTGTTTCGCTGTGTTAAATTTGGAAGATTGTACCGATATAACAAAAATGGGGTTTCAATCTCAAAAGAAGTCTGTAGTATTACTTTTCATAGCACTTTCCTTTTTAGGTATGTAACCTTCTAATATAGTAATAATAATATAAATAAAAATATAAAAACCCGTGATTCAATGTTTCGTTTTAAAATTTTAACTTTTTTTTATTATAAATTACACTTACAATAGAGACTTCAAACTTAGCAGTATTATTTAATAATATTATTGTTAGTACTATTATTATTACTAATATCAATAAACCGAATAGTACAATTTACATGTTTTAGTATTACTTAAGCATTAACTTTAAGGATGTATAATACTCGGAGACTGCTTGAATGGGTAATGAAGAAAAACTTTAATATAAGTTATGTTAAACTTATTCTTCAAAGCATGCTTATTATTATTATTAAACAAATATTATGGTTATCACATTTTGATTCGAATTCTAAATTCTAATAATACTCACATTAGAAAAGTGAAACTATCTTAGTTCAAAATGACTCCTATTCCTATCCTGCTAGAAGTAGAATTTATACTTGTGTCCACTAATCCCACAGTTCTCACCAGTAAATACAAAACAGATGATGCATCCACTAACAGTATCAATCTTAAACAAAGTGCTTAACTGTTGGCCCATAACAAAATATAAGCTATAACTTGTAAGTATAATGCACTGTAGATATTATTTAAGCTTAAAGTAACTTTAAAATTATTTATGAATTTAAATATTTGTTAATTGATAGGAAAATCTATTTTATTCTTTGATAATTTTTTAAATAGCTAATATTAACTGACTTTCTGATCTAAATGTTATTCTTACAAGAATTATAAAAATAAAATAAAGATCTACTATGACAGAACAAGTTTTGATACTTTTTGAATGTATCTTGGATTATTTTTACAAAGCATTATTTATATATTAGACTATTGATGAAATTGGCAGAAGGTAGATGTAGTTATAGAGACAGATAAACCTCCTAATATAGTCTCCCAATTAATTGATCTTCAACATAATATATGGACAACAAGAACATTTGGTCCTTCAAGGCTGTCCTCGTACACCCTGAGAAAAGTAAAATTTAAACCCACTATTATTTTTATTAGAAATCATAACTGTATACAGAAATCATGAAAAAAAGGTGTAATACTTAATTGTAAAGCAAAGGGCTTGCATACATAATACTAGTGCATTGTTTCTTTAAAGAAATGTACCTCAATGAAATCTTTTTGAATTTTGAAAGCTGTGAATTCATACAAATATCACATAAAAATATTTTAAATTTTATACATATATGTTATTGACTAATTATTTCATGCAGTTTTTTGCAATGCAATAAAGGAAACCATACAAGTGTATTGAATTGATGGGCACAAAGAAATTAAACTGATTTAATTTCATTAGTGTTATTTCTTTGTGGTACTTATTTTAACATATGTTTAAAACCCCAGCTGTAACAATTTTTCTTGTGGATAGCCATAAAGTAGAAGACAGCTATTTGTTCCATTTAGAAACAACAGTATATCGTGTTACAACTGTGAAAAGTGAGAATACATAATTAAAACTGTTTCAAAGTTTATTACAGAAAGACAAAGTCAACTGTCAACCCTGAGAAAAAATGTAATATTAATTTTGTACAAAAAAAGTATAATAAATATTAAATTGTAAAAAAAAACAACTTAATTTTTACAGCATTGTGAATTGCATGTAAAATACCAATGAAATTATTTTTTCAAGGTTTTGGATATAAAACTACCCAAGTGAAAAAATTGACAAATTAGCCACACAAATTATCCATTTTATTCATTCAGTAATTTAAGCTAAAGTTTAAAAAATTTAAGTACAGTTGTACCTCTTTACTTAGAAACCAGCATTTTCTTAATGTATTAATTACAGATATGTTTAAAAAAATACAATATTATCTGTTTAATAACGATTTTCTGACCGTATGTATTTTTAATTTTTTTACATTTGATGTATCTGTTTATTACTTGGTTATGTATTTTGTTTTTCTGATTTCATAGGTTCTCATTTCTAATATATAATACGTAATTGAAAATATGTAAAAATAATAATGGATTTGTTAAATTTTGGTAATATTGCATGTATATTTCTAACTTGTAAATTTGTTTCACCAGAAATATATGATCTAGGAGAATCTCGAAGCTTTCAGAAGAAAGGCTCGCCAGTTTTCAGTGATACTTATACTGTAAATGGTCTTTTGCTCTTACCATATGCCGAGATTATGGAACCATTTAAAGCTTACTTCAACAAGTCCAGTAACAATAGTCGTGTAGACTATTATGAAGGTATAGTATATGTTTTATAGTGTTGTATCTGTGTCTGTATATGTTTGGTTCCATAGATGTATACTAACAAAGAATACTCTATGTAGTTTTTCTTTGTTACCCTAAATAGTCTGTGGATTAAATTATATCACTAAGTAATTGAAAAAAATTATAATTAACAATTACAGTTAACCCTATTTATATGGGTGGGAATCAAAGTGCACATGGCATGACCTTTTACAGACTGCTATTCAACATGATATTTGATGTCAGAGCTACCAACTATTCATTTTACTCTACATTGCTGATTTGGCAACAGTTAATAGTACAGTAAATACCAGATAAAACTTACATGGATATACAATTAAGAGGTTCCAGAAGTTATGCAATATGCAAGGTGAATGACAGACAAAAGTATTTTTATTCTTCACACGAACATCACCTTGCACTCCAACTTTTCAGTTTTACTTAGACTGATACTATCAATTAACAGGCATCTCGAGTACAAATACTATTATAACGCCAGTTTTTTTTGTTGTTTTTTTGTGCTCAACAGACCTCCACATCTTACTAAGAGCTTGCATTAGACTTCTGAAACTTGAGATAAGAGATGTTATTATTATTATTGTTATTATTACAATATTGTACCACATACTATGATCCTTACTGAGGGAAAAGGTTGCTATAAAGAAGACAGGTAGAACATTCTTAAATTGTAATATATAACAACTTTTTGTCATAAAATTGTGTGACAACATCTTGATTAACCATTGATAGATTTTTTTTTTCCTGTTTCTTCTATTCAAATCAGTGCTTATGTGATTAGTAAGGTAAATTTCAAGAGCTCCAGTTGGAACTGAAAAAAATGTTTTAAATGGCTTTCATAGATGTAATTTTGTTAATATACTATAAATACTTGTTTTTGTTTACCTTATGGAATATGAGGTAATTAATGTCAATACTAAAGCAAGAATAAAGATACATCTGTCATAAACATTTATTGAGTGTCTATATGCTTAAAACAATTCATTGTTTTCTTACATACATTTAGAAAGTTACATGTCAAAAACAATCCATAATATTCTACAAGTACTTGTTTCACAATCATACTTTTATTTTTGTCACTTGCTTCTATTGAAATGGCTTGTAAGCATTAATTTTTTTCATTAAGATATCTGCTTCACATTTGCAAGATAAAAATGAAGTGTCAATGTGTGTATTGATATTTTTTTCCTGGTTTACCTTAATAAAAAACAATGGTAGTTATCACTTGTTTTCCTGTATTTTATTTTGAAAATGATATTTTGCTAGCTGTGATTTTTTTTTAAACAAATGTATTATATATTTTAACATCAACACTGCCTATTCATGTAGGCTAAAAGAAATAACTGATAAATTAACTGAAGATATGAATGTTTAATGACTGAATTTTTTTATTTTGTGGGAAAAAACATACTCTGTTTAAAATTTTGAGGAAAAAATATTAAATTTGACCTATTATTCTTGGTTGATTCATTCAGATTTTGGCAAAAATTTAACTTTTGATTACTTCAAAAAATAATCATGAAAACGTTGTGTATTTTATGTTAAGTGACCTGTACTGTTTAACTTTCAAAAAATGAACTTTTGTTTTGAGAACCTGTTTATATTCTACTCATTAAAGTATGACAGTTGTCTTGTTAAAATTTGAAACCACCAAAACAAAACTTCTTTTTAAAAAATATGCTCAAAAACAATGGGAAATATTACAAGTTTTACATAATGTTTTGTATCTTTACTAGTAAGTGTATTACATTTAAGTGACAATTGTTAATGGGCAGCACCACTGGATGCTTATTTTTTAAATTTTAAATTCAATGTATTATAATTTATAATCAATTAAATGTTCTAATTTACTAAAATGTGTCTTCCTATTAGACAAACATTATTTATCTTCAAGTGAATGTTAAGGTCTTTAAGCCTGTTTTATATATGTACTATTTGTGATGTAAGGAATAGTAAGAAACAAAATACCCATTCCATGCCTCTGCTACTTAAAATTACTATTACTGTAGAATCTTGGGTTTGTTTTTACTAATTTTCCCAAATTTATTCACGTGTTATCATGTGTTATGATAGTATATCAAAAGTAAAATAAAAAGACCTGACTTTTTTAAGCTCATTTCCAAAAAAAGCTTGAAACTGAAGGGTTAATGTATTTTTCATACATTTATGCAGAATTTGCATTGAAACATTTATAATTGTTAATTTTGTTTGAAGGAGTGGATTTTTGGTATATCTTCTTACATATACTGTTGCAGACTTAGTCCAGACATACCAGCTCGCAAGTAAGAACCAAGCCTTTAAAATTGCCTACATGCCAGATGATCAAGGAAAACCAGTCCATACATGCTTCAAACTCAATGTAACCAACGAGACTGTTACCATACAAAGTGTTTTGCCAGACCTGACGAATTTTACGGTAAGTGTATAGATACAGATTTCTTCAGTGACAGTGATATCCATTAAATTAGGTTCTTCATTTCAAAATGCTTCATATTGCAGCTTGTTCAAGTCAGTCAAGAAATCTTTCACACCATTACAATGAAATAATATAAATGTGTGTGTGAATAAAAAAAAATTACACCATTAACATATGTTTTAGGTCCAGGCCTCTACCTTTTTATTCTTCCACAAATTAATAACTATTTAATGTATAAGCAGTTGTATATTTACGGGAGGAGTCAAAACTCCACCTAAATCTTTTCACCAATTTTTTTTTTTTTCAAAATTTATAACTGTATTATTTAATGTTCTATAATTACATACATCTTGGGGTCTAAATCCACTCCGATTTTCTTCCTTCAGAAATTAACCTTCGTGCTACAGGCAGGTCAAAGTGTGCATGTCACAGCATTTTTTTAGTTATATTCAAAATTTAATTAAACCATGTTATAATCAAGGTATATGAATAAATTTGGCATAAAAACTTAGTTAATGAATCAAACTTTAATATGAATTTTAAGTTCTTAATTTTATAACAAAATATTTAAAAAAATCCTCAATATCATCCTAGTATGGAAATTGTGACATTTGCTTTTTAGATATCCCCTCTTCTCTAATTCATTTACCCCCCCTCCAAGAAGTGGGAAATTTAACATAAATTACTCATTGTAATATTTTTATCACTCAGGTAGAACATAATTTTTATAGCCTTCAATTTTATTTGCTTAAAAAGCCATAAAATAGAAAATCAGACCCCTCTGGCCATGCCTACCTATCACTTCCTTTTTTCACAAATTGTCAATAGTTCCCTCTGACATTTAATACTATATTACTTATAACCACTAGAAAGCCATTTTAATCTATCAAATGACATGTTATATTACATTACTTTCTCTACAGAGAATTGTCTATGGGAAATACATTGAGCTTACCTGAATTTTTAACAGCTCTTATTGCATAGTTAAAATGCCAGAGAAATTATGATAGTTACCAAATATTTTCTGCTTTGAACATATTATTATTCTCTGTTTTTAGATGCATTATTTAAATAAAGAAAAAGTTATTTAGTATAGTAGTATCAATAGTGTGTGTATGTATATATATATATATATAAAGAAGTTAAGTATTCATGACAATCGACAGCAAAAAAAGAAAATTAAGGTCCAGGTAATTATTATTATTTTTTGTTTTTTCTTGTGTTCTTTACTTATTATTATAAAAGTAACTAAAATTTAAAAATTGGAAATCTATTGTGTTAGATTACATGAGATAATGAAAAAAAATAGTTATAATAAAAAAAACTTTTCACAAAGGATGCTTGCAAGCAACTTATGGGTGGCCTGTGCCTTGTGTAATTCAATAGAGTAACATGAGCTACATTATTATAGTATTTTGGCACTTGTGTATAAAGTTAAAATCATAAATAATATTAAACGTTAAACTGGTACACAATTGAAAATGAGCTACATGTTTGCCAAATGATCTATAACTTGAGTTGTGGAATTATTAGTTAGAGTTCTAAGGGCAATAAAACAATAATATTTAAGTTGAAATAGATGTATAGTGTTATGTAATATAACCTATTTAATATACATAAATGTAGTTTCATATAACAATTTAAAGTCATTCTAGAAAGAAAAAAAAGTAATTTATATTTATTTCATATTTCTTTATGGCATTTGCAAGATTGGTGAAATTGACCAGCCTTGTATAAAGTTAGTTAGGGGTAGAGAAAATAACATATAAAATGTAAAGTTTATTGAAAAAACATTTAAAATTCATTTAGGAGGTTTCAGAGATTATGCAAATTAAATTTAACAATTTTCAGAGGAAGTAAAGAATTTTTAATCTTGACATGAAAATCATTTTGCACTCAGAGCTGTCAAAACTGATTCCCAGGGGACAGAATAGTTTGGTGGATTTGATTTAGCAGAAACTGCTAATAAATATTCAGTTTGGTTAGCAATTAGGAAATATTGCTTAGCATCTTCTTAACATTCATCATTTTAACACATTATGGCAACTAAGTCCAGCACTAAAAGTCTTAACTCTTTGTAAAGACATCCACTGATGAAAGAGTTAAATTGTATGTTGTTGTTTTTTAATAACAATTCTATTCAGCTTTAAACCCTAATATTTAATTGTATTTTATGAACAAATTAGTTCCTGGTATATAAAGTAAAACTTCAAAATTGCAAGAAATACCAAACACATCAGCTGTTACAAAATAATGTAACATTCAATTAACCAGAGAAAGAAGTGACTTTAAAATGCTGCAACTGAACAAGGTTGCCACAAGTCATTTTTCAAATTTGTCTAGTTTATTTGTTTAAAAGATATAATATTAAAACTACATAAAACTAAAAAATGAGGGAGTTCGTAACTGGTTCAATCCTAAATGTGCAGTGCATGTACTGTACATAAGTAATCTAGTTGGCTAGGTTGCGGGTGACAACTAGGTGCATTCAAAACGTCATCAACAAATACTACAAAATGTGTGTCACATGCATATCGCATAAAGTGTGAAAATACTGTGTGCCGTTTGGTGGGAAGTTTGAAGAAATGAACATCATCTTTGGCTTTGGTATATCAAACTGAAATGTTACAGCACTTTAACTGTGTTGAGGGAAGTCACAAAGACAACATACGAGAGAAAGGAATGATTCACACATTATGCTAAGCAAAGAGGAAAGTGATTCACAACTGGGGTTGTTTTGATTAGCAACTTGCGATGCCAACCCGGATATTTTGTTCCTAGGACTCCATGTACTCGCAGAGAAAAATCTTTAGCAAAAAATACTTCATTGAAAATTTTGAGTTTTTGTCTATAAAAGACTCTTGATGCTTACTGAAAGCTTGCAAAATTTCATGGAGATATAGTATTAAAACTATAAAGGTCAGTTTGGGTCACAAACTTTGCTGATTTGACCAAGCCACAGGGAGGGAGCGTTAATAATAAATCAGCAATACAGTATCAAAAAGAAATATTAAATCTCTGTTTTTAATTGACTGGTCTGTTATATACCATAAAAACTGAGTTTTTCTGAAGTTAACACAGCTGGAGTCTACAGCAATCAGGTTATGGTTTCAGCTAGTAAATGATTATTTTTAAATGAGTACAACAATATGAATGTCAATGAAACATTATTGTGGTAAATTTTCATGCCTTAGCTTTTCCCAGCTTTTTGATTTACGTTAGTAACATAGATGAAGGAATGCTGCTGATTTACAAAAGGATTTAGATCATTTAGTAAGTTGGGCAAATAAACTGCAGATGGGTTTTAATCATAATAAATGCAATATAATGCAAGTGGGTTATCATAATTTGAATTATAAGTATAATTTGGATGGGAATAACCTTAACAGTGTTATGAAGGAAAGGTATCTTGGTGTAATAGTCGATCAGTCTCTGAAGCCATCCAAACAGCATGCTGTTGCTAGTGGTAGGGCAAATAGGATATACAGAAATATTGAATACAAGTCTAAAAAGGTTATAATTGCATCTTTTTTCATATTTATTGGTGAGAATAGTAGGACTAGGGAACACATAAATTTTGGCAAGGTAGGAGTCATCTTCAGCTAAGACAGTTTTATTTTTATAACTGGGTGGTTGGCCTTTCTGAATGGGTTGCCATCAGATGTTGTAGAGGCAGTAAATTTAAGTGAGTTTAAGAGAAAGCGTGATAAGTATATGAATGATAAGGGCTTTAAGATTTTAAAAAATTATTTTAATTTAGTTTCAAGGATGGAACAATCGAGATAGACCAATAGGTCCCATGTTGCCCTAAAATGTTATGTTATTTCTGCACATCTGCAAACAAAAGAGCATACTTGTTTTTCTGCCCATCCCAAAGAATAACATTATTTGTACTAAGAACCTGTCAGCCCTTGAAAATATATTAACCATTTCTTGATGTTTCAGCACTTTCTTTAGTTTCATACAGGCTTTGGTTGGTGCCACATCAAGTGGTTTAATCATTTACTAATAAAACACAGCTTTGAAAGCAGCTATAAATTCTTGCACTATACAGTCACACATTAATGAAGTAAGTTTATAGGTTTAAAAGTTGTTGTTTTTTGTAGGTTCTGTAAACATTCCTTTCATTGCCTATTGTGAAAGTATTTGTTTGTTAATTTCTGTAGCTTTCAAATAGATATAATTTGTCTTCAATGAAAAGAATTGAATAAAATGAGATAAGATAGGTAAAGAAAGTAGAGAGAGAGAAAAATATATCGTAAAAGTATTTGTTATTCGATTTTCATGTCTTTGCAAGCTGTCATTTTGTATTTCAGTGTGTACATATTTAACTATAGCTCAATGTTCTATTTACTATTCACACTTATTTAATTTTACCTGTACACATTTAACTTAATATTTATTTACTTTTAATAAAATGTCTGCAAGTTTATGTATATAAGTATTTAATATGTTTCTATACAAGTATATGATAATACTGGTGACCCTTAGATCACTATTGTATGAACTCTGTGAAAAAAAGATAGTGCTACATCTGTTGGTGTACTTGAGCATTGAGAGAAAACTCGGTGGTGTCTTATCTTTCATATATATATATATAAGAAAGAGATAGATAGATAGATAATTGATATTTGATTTGGAACTGGAATACAGAGCAAGATTTGTTAGTATTATTTTATTTACTAAAAAATTTGCTAGTATTGAAAATTTTCAACTCGTGGATTAATACTAAGAATATGTCTTTGTTAATGTATATAACTACTGAAATTTTTAAGTTTTTTGTTATTTTATAAACACTTTTACTTAAATAATCTTGTTTATTTCTAGTATGTTGTTGATGAATTCTGTGAGAATATCTATTTTCCAATCAAAACAAATTGTTCTCGCTGGGAACTCACTGAAATCCATGGAAAAAAGACTAACAAGTACACCATGTGGGTGCTGCAGAAGAAAAATATCACTATTCCTATACGATATCAAATGAAGGGTTATAATTCACTTCTGGGATCCCATTATGACAAGTATGAGGTTTACTATGGAAACTTTACAACAGATGTCTCTGATTTGGTTTTCAACATTAACAAAAGTGAGTTTGATATTCTTAGCATTGTAAACAAGAATAAATCCTAAGAATGAAAATAAAGGAAGAAAGTGATCAGTAACCAAAAATCATTATCAGAGCTAGTATTCAATTCCAATTAGAAGCCATTTTTGGACCATTGGATGTGAGGGCACTACCACAGTAACATACTGTTTGTACTGAAATAGATGAAAGGTCTTAGCTAATCAAGATGTGGGGTCTGTTTTGGGTGTAAATGACTCTAAATATTTTACACAAAAACATTTTGATGTATATTGGTGTCACAGTTTGCATATATGAACATTTCATTACATGTTTTAACTACTCAGTGCCCAAGTCTAAGTGGGGGGATGAGGAATTTAAAATACTTTATTATTATCCCAACCTGGACTGTAGTCACATATTTGAATCAAGTAACCATAGGAGTGTTGTTACATAAGTTTTGTATGACAGGCCATCTAGGATAGTATGGGTAACTTAACTAGCTAGTCTTATGTAGGCCAACTATGAGCTACATGTAGCTAAACTTTTGACTAGGTTGCTCACTTTCTCCTACAGGCACCTAAATCTCTATTTAACAGCTTCAATAATACTTGTGTTATTGAAACAACTGTTCCTCAGTTTCTAGTCCTAGCTTAAGTGAGGTAGCCATATAAGCTAGGAAAAGAACCTTTTGCAGTTCTCTACAATCTCAACATAATGGTTGATATTTTTATTTGTGACTGACTGCATGTTTGTGTGTGTGTGACAGAGCAAGGAAGATGTAAAAAAATACCATGTTTGAGTTGCTCTTTCCAGGCTTGATCCCTGTATAAATCCAGAATTTAATTATTAATTTACAATGATGTACACAGTGCTGAAGGAATGTATGTCATTGATAATTTAAGGTGTTAGGCTAGTGGCTTAGGCCATGTTCACCTTATCACAAAGTTTAGAAGACAGCATTACTTTCCAACATAACTACTTCACTTTTGCTTTCCCTGTTTTTTTTTTCTGGTAAAGTCTGAGGGGAAAAGATATAATTTTGAACCCTTTTCTGGTTGATTCGTGCAATCCCAAGCACAACAACCTGGCATTTCTGCCACAGTTTCAAAGTTGAACACAAATAGTTATCAATGCTTATTCATTGCATATGGGAAGTGACATCTAGGCTATAAGCATTTGGCCCCAAACATTTCCTGTGTACCATGTTACCTACAATTTCCAGTACCTATGTCTCAATTCTATTTGTACCTATCTCTGACACATCTATGTGTCTTGAGTACTTATTCTGATATTGACTTTTGGTGAGTGATCTTATGTGTACTTTGTTTGTATTAATATATAAAAAGTTAGTGCTTGGTATGTTAAGCTTGGGGTTTAAAACCTTTTAAATGAAACGGTGAGAAATGTAATAAAAAATTGGATCTATTAATCGAGTGAATCCAAATCCTTTCATGAACATTACATTTTCCAATTTGTACTATTTCTTTTTTTCTGTTTATTGTAATAAACACTTTCACCATCTTTTATAAGTAAAGTTTGTTGTTACTATAATTTCTAAACAGTTTCTACTACTAAGCTTCAGCGCATATAATGTTAAAATTTAAATTTTGATCATCATGGCAGACACAGGGCAGATAGCTCATTGTACAGCATTGCACTAAAACAACCAGAACTAAAGTACTAGCTGCCTCTTCATTCTTTTTTGAAATGCTTCTCAGTTATGGGCATTAAAGAAATTAAGTAACTTTTATATTAGTTCAATTTAAGCAACAATATTTTACACAAAGCTCAGTCCACTAGAATATAACTACAGAGCCATGTTTTTTTGTTTTGTTTTATTTTTGTTCCTAAAATATATTTCTTCTTATTATGTGATCATGGCTGGGTGGTTAGGGCACTCAACTTGCAATCTGTGGAATGTGGATTTGAATCCCCATCTCACCAAACATGCTCACCCTTTCAACTATGGGGGCATTATAATGTGATGTTCAATCCCACTATTTGTTAGTAATAGAGTAACCCAAGTGTTGGCAGTGGGTGGTGGTGACTAGCTGCCTTTCTTTCACTACTAAATTAGGGTAGGCTAGCACAGATAGCCCTCGTGTAGCTTTTCATGAAATAAAAAAAAACAATTTGTTATGTGATTTAATATAACATGCATGTTACTATAGTATGTTGTGATGAAAGTATCAGTCTCCCCATTTCTTCTAACAAACAAACAAAATAAAAAAACTTGCAGTATGTTAGATGTTTGTAAGATAATACTACATCAAACATTAGTTTTCTGAGTTTAGATAAAATTGGATGGTAAAACAACTTGCTTGCTCTGTTCATGATTTCACAATACAATTGCAGCCAGTTAAAGCTACATGTGTCATTAATTTATTACATTTTTCAAATATTGTAAAGCTAAATGCTATACAGTATTCTTTCTTAATTATTTACTAATGAATCCCTCAAGCAAAGAATCCATTAAAATATATCTGTGGATTTAAATGCTAGAAACTGGGTTTCGATACCCATGGTGGGCAGAGCACAGATAGCCCTTTGTTTAGCTTTGTGCTTAACCACAAACAAGAAAGCTTATGCATTTCTCATTTTAAAAAAAAATCAGTATCTGAAGTAAGATGTACAAAATTTTACTGTTAAGAACTTTGCAAACATAATTATTTTTCTTTGAAACTTCTGTTTGATTGAATGAAACTACATTTTGAAATTTCAGGCTAACATCTGTCACCTTTTCATTCATAACACACAACTCCAACTTCTACAAGAATCCCAGTTGTGGCTCTCTTGAAGCTGGTTATGACTTAAAATTTATTAGATGTTGTGTATACATGAGAATTACAAATCTCTTGTAAGCCACATAAAAGCCTTGAGAGTACTTTAAGCTATGATATTTGGTTATTTATATTTTCCTATGTTTATGTTAATATGAATTCACCTAAGGTTGTGCTAAAATATTTTTTTTTAATATATGATGCTTCATTTTAATACTTTAATGTATTAATGCCACTATATGTAGTTGTTACTTACAAACACAATCTAAAGATTCATTATCGTATAATCTTACCATAAAGATTATCCAGTATGTGTGTGTGTGTGTGTTAGCATCCATTACCCATATTTGTTTTTGTATGCTAACTGGAGACTTTTACAATGTACATGGGCTATCATATTTTAGGAGTTTTGCTTGAGATGGGAGATAAAAAACACCCTGAAATAGGGCAGATTTCTACTCTCTTTATAGACTTTTGGCATTGAGTGTAAAGACACAAATACTTAGTTAGTTAAATAGTCAATTATTACCTTCCACAAACAGGGTGTACAGTTAGTGTCAGAAAGGGGAACATTATCTAACATTGTCCTATATAGAATTTTTGCTTCCTTCATGGGGTATACTTAGCTAGTAAGTTACACAAATTAAAATATTTTAACATTCTTGGTTTAATAGGTAAAGCCATTGTGTGATGTCTGAATAATCATTATTACTTTTTGCACATTCAAATTAAGTCTCAATACATTGTATTTGTTAAAGTTGCTCTGTTGTCTGAAAGTTTAATTCTAAGTGGTTTTAAAAACTCTGTATATTATGTGTAATTTGAAGTATTTTTATGTAGATCTGTAGAATTATATAAAATAAATATATGTGCAATTTAAATATTTAACTTGCCTTTTTCTTTTTTAAGATTTCACTTGTAGGAGTTTCCCAGGACCAGGTTTGGAAAATGTTGGGGAGCACAATCCCATTAAGGAATTTATCGACAAGCATGATAATCACATACATCAAGCTTTTGAAGACTTTAAGCAGACTCATGATAAGAAATATAAGAATGAAAAACATCATGAAACTAGAAAAAACATATTTCGTCAAAACTACAGGTGATTCTTTTACTTCTGTTTCTATGGATAGAACAATGCTTTTCAAAAACTCGGACATTTATTGCTCTTCATCCGTGTACATATTTGATTTTTCTCTTTATTTAGAAGTTATTTGTAGATGTTTAACATGCCAAACTGTTACTCAGCATTTATGCTGAAGATAAATGTAGTCTATAATCTAACCCTGTCCTCCCCTTGTGCCATTTTTATATTCCTTTCTGTGTATTGTACTGCATTTCATTCAAAGTTTAATAAAACCATTTTACTATCAATATATGTCAAGGAAACTAACATTATAATGTATGTTATAATTTGAATTTTTGTTATCTAAGTTACATTTCCTTAGTTTCAAGGGAAACATTTTAAAGATACATGAAGTGCCGTTTTTGTGTCATGTGATCCATGTGCTATGAAAAATCTCTACTTTAGCAGCAGTTCACTCTTAGCCACATAAGCTTGCAATGTACATGAGTATCTGAATGCTAAATTACATGTGTTTGAACTATTTGAAACATGAGATCCAAAGTCTGTAGCTGCTTTGTCTAAACCAGCCTTCTATACTATGCCTAGAGATATACAATGTACATGTAGTTAGTTGACACAAGTTTATATAGTTGTTAGGAAGAGCTGTTTAAACTGTGCTCCACCAATGGTTACTTTGAAATTGGCACACAATTTTCTTCACAGTGTATATGTAACTGCCATTAATATCATTGTCTGCTTGATTGCCTACAGCACTTATGGTGGTTTTGTACCTAAGTATGCTATAGTTAGAGAGACAGTTAAATTTTATTTAGGTCTTACTTTTATATTCTAGTTAATTATGTAGTATTTATGTTTTAAAAATTGTATATGAAAGGCTTAATGATTTTTATAGTTTAACTTGTTGTCATCTGGATTGGGAAAGTGTATAAACAAGATGGTGTCATTTGCATGTGCTAAGTGTTTGTTAAATGAAGTCTCTGTATAGGAGTCGCTATGTAATCTTAACAAAGCCCAGAGGGCACCAGTTGATGTATTGGCATAAATAATAAAAGACAAAGAATTATAAAGGAAAATTAAAAATAAACTGTAAGCAAAAAGATAGACATGAAATTAAGCATATTAAAAAATTAGATTTCAAAAGACTTTTACAAAGAGTTTAAAGGTATGTACATAATTCCATTTCTTAAACCTACAATTACAGTTACCCTTGTTCTGCACATGTCATAAGATTCTACTTTGTTACATTCAAAATTTAATTAAGTGATCTTAGTATCAATGTATACCAATGAAATTAACATTAAAATTTACATTATAGCTCAAAGTTTTATATTATTTAAGTTTTAATTCCTTTATTTCAAAAGAAACCTTAAAGAAAAATTATTAAACTTCAGTTTGTTACTTCACAACGTTTTAATTTATGGCCTTTGTAATTTGAGAAGGACTTGAATACACTAAACCTTCCACATATAGAAATAATTTAGGTTTATTGCTCTGTTTACACATTCTCCTTTCAAGATCCTTAGTGGATATTGGGGGAAAAAAATTAAAATAAATTTCTTGGACTCTTGACAGATGCCATGCATACAGTTGCAATTTCTCAGCCAATTATACATAGTTGAGCTAAATATTTGTAACCAATAGAAAGCCACATTTTGAAATACTATTTCCCAAAATAGAGAACTTGTCAAATGCTCTTAGCATTGTTGCTGCTTGTGACCTCTCTAGTGCTTTAGCAATATTTCTTGCCTATAAATATGTTAATTAGATAGACAATTAGATTTTATTTAGGTTTTTGTTTTATATTTTAGTTAATGATATGTTAGCTATGATTTAAAAGCTATATTAGAAAGGTTTAATAATTTTTTTAAATATAAGCCAAAGTGCCTCATTTTATCAGGCTTAATGTAGTAGGCAAATGTACCAATGTTCTCTGTGTCAAGATAAGTGATAATGCTAAAGGATAGGATAGGAAAATAAAACTTTAGATATATAATTTTTGTGAAAAAGTAAAAGATTACATTTAAGAAAATAAACTAAGAAGATTTTCGAGATAAATTGATGAAAAAGTAATAGGTATGTACATTTTTTCTATTTTTAATTTTAAATATTTCACTGCACAATACATTGATGGGTGCAAATAACTACAATCCAAAAATAACAAATCTTTAACTTTCTCAACATGAGCATGGTCAATTTGACCGACCACGTGACCTCTTTGTACTCTTTTAGTCTTTATGGATCGATACTTCTAACTTTTTAATATAGTGTTAAATCTTCACAAAATTTGGCAGTCTTTCAGTTAACATTATAAGTCTTTCACCTAACAAAATCATATTTTCAATGAAGTATTTTTAATAAACTAAAATAATGATTTGTCCATGAATACATTGGGTATTTGTTTTGACTAGTCCATGAGCAAAGTAATTTTCATGTTAAGATTAAAAATACTTTTCTTCATCACAAAAATCTCAGATTTCCTTTGTGTGATCCCTAAAACCTCCTAAATACATTTCAAACATTTTTTTTCTGTAAAACTTTATCTTTTATTTTCTCTACCCTAGGAACAGTCACTTTGACAGACCTCATAGCCACCAAAAAAAGTCTAAATTACCCTTTTTATTTCTTTTGAGAATGACTCCAAATTTCAACATGAAACTACATTCGTTTATCCTAAGTAGCTTTAAGCTCGTAACAGTATACATGTATCTATAATTAAATTTTATTGTTTTATTGCCCTTTGAACCATGTCTA